TGATGCCAAGAAGGTACTGGAGATGAAATGGCGGTGGACGGAGAGTGGAAAGACGAAAGTTACTGATGAAGCAAAGATAAGCAAAGCTACATAGACAAAACAAAGTGAACATTGTCATCTCAGATTCTGACTTTACACTGATACAAAAAAGTGTTGGTGCAAAGGTGGTATTAGTCTTTTAAAGGATTGGCTTTTGTTAATAGGGTGTTAGAGGAGTAAACTTTTGTCTAGTTCTTGTTACTTCCTGTTTTTTCGTTTGTTGCGAGACAATTTAAAGTCATGATTGTGACTGTTCCACAGATTAGTTTTTTTTTTCTGGAAACTTGTGGAAACAGCTTTTACGAAATCTTATTTTGTTTAATCGAACTAATTGAGAAATAAATGAGACGACTACTCTTTACCCGCGCTTGGAAAAGTGGCAAAAAATATTAAATTAATAGAAAAAAAACTGTTTACAAAATAAATTACCGCCGTCCATAAGCTTATACAATCAGATCACATAATTGAACTTTGCAAATAATGTTCTATTTTTTTCCCATGACTGTGCTGACACTATTTTCTTTTTTTAATATCCTCGATAAGGGCTGTTGTACCGAGACCTTGCTTAAGTATATTAAAACAAATTGAAGGTCCCAGCGATGGATTCTTGAATGTGTATTCTTTATATCCACTAATTAGCTCTATATTTTGCCCAAATAAGTCAAAGAGTGAATATGAAATGAATAAAAAATCGTATGGGAACATTATGACGTACTCCGTAAAATAATTATCCGGACCTCTGCATATACTATAACTTGTTTAACTGGAATTTTGCTCATACTAGTTGAGTGGCCTTGTTCTACATCGTAGCTAGTTTTGTAGCTTTACACCTTTATTTTATTGCCTAGTTCGTTTGCCTAATTTTTTTATTGCCTAGTTTGTTTGCCTAAACAGCCTCAGTAGCTATGTGTTTGTTGTTAATTAATTTCAATCGTTGAAGGGGGGAAGCAGAGCCACCAAAATGGTATTTCCGGTTATTAGTGCATGATACACTTGGCATTATCAAGGTCAGTGTTTACGGACTTTGATTTATTAATGATATGGTATCATGAATGTGGCATGTCTTTATATACCTTTATGTAACCAGTCAGTTATTTTTTTGTTGTTGTAGCTATTGATTTTTTTGTTTTGTTTTGTTTTGTTTGTTTGTTTTTAGATATCGATATATTCAGATATGTTATTGCTACTGTTTTTTTTTCTTTCTTTTTTTTAGCTATCGATTTGTTTTGAATTTAGAAGTTATAGGCGAGATGGGAGATCCATTTAGAATTTGAATCAGAGCCAGATGGGATCGAATTAAAATCTTCGCTTGATAAGGAGGGTTTGATTTTTCTCCCCCCCCCCCCCCCCAACCTGCTGAGCTTTAAATCCTCGTTATTTAGTTCAGATTGAAATTCTAAATCTCGACCGATTGAATCATCTGTCTTTTATCCGAAATATAGCCTGAATGTTATAAATTTCACGTAAAAAATTTCTCAAGTCCATCAAAGGTTTTGAATGAAAGTTATATTAATATCAGTCGACATTATGTAAGTTTTACTCAACGTGTTCTAATTTCATTTAACAGAAAATATAATGAGAAGTTTATTCCTTTAAAAAAAATAAGACAGAGCTTCGTCTAAGATGGCGACAACAATGAATTTGATCTATGAATAAAAATAAAAAATAAAATTTGAAATAATAATAAATAAATAAATAAAATAGCAGACTACATTAGCCATGTCCTCTTCATGACAGAGAAACATGCATCTGCCATTTCTCATTCTCAATTAGATACCATTTCGCACAACAAATAAATAAATCGATTAAAAGATAAAAGATAAAAAATGAATAAATAAATAAATAAAAGCTCTAGCATACAACCCTCTGCCTAACAATTCATAATTTGACATATCAACTTCACTCCTAATTACTGCCTCCGTCGGTAACATAAGTTCTTCAAAAAAATAAAATAAAAAAGTAATAAATAAAAAAAAATAATTCAATCATGATTTTGAAGTTACATAAAGGTTACATCCTATCGTTTCTCTCTGATACAATTCCTGTGACTTTTTTTTCCAATGTTGCTGAAATTAATATGCCATATAGACTAAGATTCGTAAGCAATTAATAATGATAAACAACAGTATCTATACATAAATGTGCTACCTAAGGCATCGTAACCAAGATCTATCTGTATAGATCGAGGTCCTAACCACAAATAACAAAGTGTTAGCGTTCAAACTTTTTTAAACAAAATCTATTTCAAGCTTTTGTGCAAAAACAAAAAAAAAAAAAAGACAAAATTTAATCTCTCGTGGGCCCTTTCCTATGTCAAATGGTCCTGTTAAAATAGCCTTCTATTCGTAGATTCTGTTATGTTATTTTCTTGCATTTTATTGTATAGCGTAATTTCTAGTATTATTGTTTTAACATAATCATTTATACAAATATTCAAGAACTGTCGTTCCAATTTCTATTA